ATAGCCCTTTGTGTAGCTTTGTGCTTAATCACAAACAACACTATTCTTTAATTCGAAAGTCATTCTTCAGGTTGTGAGTTTACAGATAATTTGTAATAATAACAAAATTTTAAAACACCACTTTTAGGTCACGAAATCCGCAGAAGAAACTAATAAAGAAGAGAGAAAACAGAAGAGTTTGAGGATTACAGCGTTTTATGTATTCTGCTGGTATGGGAAAGGGAGGAACAGCACCCGTGAGCATGCGTATAGTATTGTCCGAAGTACAGTTTGCTTGGGCCAACACCGATTGTATTCGTAACTGGTCCAGCTAACTCTTTATCCATGAAAACGTGTATAAAATTGTACAGCAATTGAAACTTCATCTATCAGTGTATGAATCATAATATCCGGTGAATAACAAAATAAATATTTTCCACTCAATTCTGGATATCCGGGTTTCTTTTAGTTTATAACACTAATGAAGTGTACATTGTACACGTGTGTGTAATTTTATCGATGACACGCATGTTTGAGAGTACTGTTAAAGACTGTGTTTCCTAGTGCTATACAGACTGTATAAAACTTAACTGTGAGCCAGAATGGCATTGAGATATCTCCGTCTTAAAACAGCACTTTCATACCTTGAATGGTTTACTGGCTGCGTGATCCATCTTTACATTTTAGCCCCTGTAACGAACCACAAAGTAATGATGACCTGGCGAAATTTTAAGAATACCAGATACGGCTGGACTTGACCAGTAATAGAGACAGCTTTAGTTGTAATCCATTAAAAAAGTTGATTTGTATATGATTTCATTTCATTTCAGAGTATTTTGTCATTAACTATTTTGAATTATAAATAGAAAAATTACCTCCGTTAACCACGAAAACACTAATAAGGCCATTCGAGTTTTATGTTTTGAAGAAAAGGTCCTAAAACTTGTACCAAAATACAGCAACTTTTGCTTTTCATTTGATCATAACATCTTTTACTTTTATAAGTCGTTGTAAATAACAAAGAATGTTTTTGACAAAAAAATCAAGTTTGAATTATCATCAATAAAGATTTCAACTGTATCATTATTGTTTTTCTATAAATATATTTTTCTTTAATAATAACTATATTAAGTAAAGGTTTGTGTGTGAAAGAGTGTGTGTGGTGTTTTTTATTGTATTGTATTTTCTCAGCTCTTAACGGCCCGGCATGGCCAGGTGGTTTGTGCGCTCGACTCGCAATCTGCGGGTTCGAATCCCCGTCCCACCAAACATGCTCGCCCTTTCAGCCGCGGGGGCGTTATAATGTAACGGTCAATTCCACTATTCGTTGGTAAAAGAGTAGCCCAACAGTTGGCGGTGGGTGATGATGACTAGTTGCCTTTCCCTCTAGTCTTACACTGCTACCCCCCCCCACTAGCACAGCGGTATGTCTG